GGCATGGTGTTACACTTAGGAGCTAAGGCAGGACAATTTCAAGTTCGAGGCCAGCCTGGGCCACACAGTGAGTTTGAGGCCAGCCTGAACTGTAGAGGGAGACCCTGTCTCAAAAATAAAGTAAAATGATACCAGGTATCTCAGGAGCCCAACCTAAACCATCTGCAGGCTGCCTGTGTCGCGGCCATATGGCAAGATCGGGGTGAGTGTTGAGGACCAGGCTATGCCATAGATTATGGGGAACCTCAACTGACCTGGTTTAAGCACCCCCCAAGTCCTGAGGTCAGTGTGACCTCGCTTTGGGAACAGGGAGTATGTAGAAGGCCCATGCCCCTTGGCTATGGGTGGAATGCTAATGGCCCGTCCCTCCTCAGGCCAGATAGCATCTGCTGAGGGCGGCTGTTACTACACAGGCATTTGGGTTTGGAGAAAATGTGGCTCCTCGGCTGATTTAATCCTTATCTACCCCTTTCCTATTGTTACTGTTCTGTTGCTACCCTTCCCCCAGCTTCTAGCTAGCCAGTAAAAGCCATTCAGGAGGCAGCCCAGCCAGTTACTAGAGGCAAACTTCTCTGGGCTCCTTTGTACTCTGAAAGTTGTTTCTTTCTCTTCCTTCATTCCTGCCATTTACCCTGCAGGTATTGGAGGGTGGGTCAGCCCTAGGTCGGTCCGGGCAGGCGAGGAGGTTGGGGGTGGAATTTTGCAGACCCAATTCAGATGGGGAATGCATGCCGCCAGGTAGTTATACTTCTTCATGCAAATTTTTCACTCCCTCTTCGGACTCAGTTCCCTCATCTGGGAAATGGATTCTAACTTCCACTTCGCAGAATGGTTTCAGGAGTCTGGGAGGTGGTTGACAGGTTCTGGCCCTAGTACAAAGTGCTAAAATCTTCAGGATGGCCATCTAATATGGCTGAAGCCCTTAAACAAAAGCCCGTCTTCCCAAGACTACCTCCCCATTCTTCTCCAACTCAGCTCAGGATATAATTTACTTTCACCCTTCCCGCTGCCTCAGGGAAGACCCCGTCAGTTTCTCAGGTATATCTAAACATCCCCTTCCAACACGCCCCCCCAAAAGCCATAAAAGCCTCAGCCTCCCTTTGTCTAGTCCAGAGAATTCCTCATCCTTCCCCACATTCTCTCCCGTGTCCTCAAAGAAAATAAAGCTCCTTTCTCTTCTTCCTTCTGCCTGTTTCTTTGCTGCGCCGAGTACCTATCATTCCTGAGGTAGAGCCAGATGTGTGGCTCCCCCTGTGATCCCAGCCCTCTGGGAGGGTGAGGTAGGGCCATCACAAATTAGAGTGAACCTGGACGATGTAGTGAGACTCTGTCTCAAAATGAAAAATAAACGGCCGGCCAGATAGCTCAGCGGACTAGAGCTCCTGCTTAGGCAGACACGGTGACCAGGGTTCGATCCCTGACACCGTAGGCCCCGCTGGCCCTGCCCCAGGGGCGCACAGAGATGGCGATTGAGGCTGGCGTGGTGGTGCGCATCTGTAATCCCAGCATTTGGGAGGCTGAAAACAGGAGGATCACTACAAGTCTGATCTGTGGAGTGCGACCCTGTAGACCTTGCACTAAATACATTAAAAGAAATGTTCTTCTTTTAAAGAAAAAGAAAAAAGGGCATACAACACGTCTGAGAATCAGCAAATGTATTATCTCTATCGCATTCTACAGATGAGGAAGCTGAGGTTGAGCGAAGAGGCCTGGCTTGCCCACAGGCAGCTCCTGAGTGAGTCTGTCTCTAGTTAACACAGCCCCTTGGCACCTACAGAGGAGTGTCCCAGGTTCTGGGTCCCCGAGCCAGGGCAACGCCCCTCCCCCCCTTGTCCCTTGCCCACACCCAGGGTTGCTCACATAGGTCTGCAGCAGCGTTGATGTATTCTTCTGCATGTAGAGGGCCAGGCTGTAGGCTTGACTGATGGGCTCAGCGGGGGAGATGGGGGCTGCCAGCCTCAGGGGTGGTGACAGCAGGCTCAGTAGGCAGAGGGCGGCTGGCAGAGGAAATCAGAGCTCAGCATGCAGCGTCAGGCTTATTCATTCATCCTACCAACCCCACGAGGTCCGCAGTTACCCTGTAGTTCCAGGGCAGGGCAGTCACCCTGTGCACAGTGCAGGACAACGCTCGAACTTCCCTTGATCTCAAGACTCACAGATTCAACTTGCTACTTGACACTTTCACTTGCACATTAATAAACATCTTTTCTTTTTTTTTTTTTTTTGCAGAACCAGGGATTGAACTCAGACCCTTGCGCTTGCCAGGCAAGCACTTATTCTACTGAGCCATCTCCCTGCCCCATCCTACCCCCTTTTTTGGTGGGACTGGGGATTGAACTCAGGCCCTTGCACTTGCCACGCAAGCACTTATTCCCCTGAGCTATCTCCCCGGCCCCAAGTGTTTCTTTTTTAAAACCTGAAAGGCTGTAAGAATTTACATGGCATCCTAGCTCAGGGGCCATGCTAATTTTCTCCACATAATTCCAATTTTAGTATAAAAGCAAGCACATTATACATGTTTCTGGCTCTGAATGCTGATTACAAGGATGTGGTTTTTCTACATCAGGTACAGTAATCCTAGCACTCTGGTAGGCTGAGACAGGAGGATCACAAATTCAAGCCTAGGGGCTGGGAGATGGCTCAGTAGAATAAGTGATTGCCTGGCAAGCGCAAGGGCCTGAGTTCAATCCCTGGTTTCATCCAATAAATAAATAAATAAATAAATAAATAAATAAATAATAAATAATAAAAAATAAAAAATAAATTACCTGGGCTCAAACTTGTGAGCAAGCCACTATGTCGGGTTCAACCCAGGAAGAAACACCATAAACTCAAAATATCCTCTACTCAACTCAGTAACTTCCCACAGCCCCCACATTGTTCTGGTTACAATTTACTGAGATCCTGACTCATAATACAAAAAAATAAAAGAAGGCTGGCGCCTTAGCTCATTGAAAAGGCCCTGAATTCACTCCCAAGGAACAACAGCAATGAAAAGGATATGGTCTCTGTATTGAGTGGTATTGTCTTAAGCTGCACATGTATGACTTGTGCATTTTTCTTTTCTTTCTTTCTTTTTTTTTTTTTTTGGCGGAACCAGGAATTGAACTCAGACCATTGTGCTTTCCAGGCAAGCTCTTATTCTACTGAGCCATCTCCCCAGCCCAATTGTGCATTTTTCTATATATTATGTGCGTGTGTGTGTGTGTGTGTGTGTGTGACACTGGGGATCAAACTCAGAAACTTATGTTTGCCAGGTAGGCACTTATGCCACTGAGCTATATCCCCAGCCCTATATTTCTTACTTTTAGTGAATACTTTATTTATTTTCATTTATTTATTTATTTTTTTTGCGGAACTGGGGATTGAACTCAGACATTTGGGCTTGCCAGGCAAGCACTTAATTCTACTGAGCCATCTCCCCGGCCCCTTAGTGAACACTTTTTTTTATTTTTTTGCGGAACCGGGGATTGAGCTCAGACCCTTGCGCTTGCTAGGGAAGCGCTTATTCCACTGAGCCATCTCCCTGGCCCCTGAACACTTTTAAAGATGCATCCAGAATATGACCACTTTCCCTCCTTCCATCGCTACCACCTCAGGCCAAGCCCCCGACACTTCTCACCTCCTCCGTGGCCTCTGCTTCCACCCTGGCCACAAGTCCAGCCATGTCCTTCCCCTGTTAAACATCCCATGCTCCCTGCTGACTAAGGAAAAACCAGGTCCTCTGTGGGTCTGCCAAGGCCTGGGCCTGTACGTTGGCTTTGTTACATTTGGCTGGCATTCTTCCCTGGGGCTTTTCACCTGGCAGTGCCCTATCAGGGTGACCCCAGCTTTTCCTCAGCTGCCTCTTCCCCATTCTCCAGGCCCAAACTCAGCTAACCTGTGCTGATTCCCCTGTCTAAAGTTGCCCCTTCTTCCTGACTATCTTCAGGAATTTTTGTTATCTGAGAAGGTTAGCTTAAGAAAAGGGGAAAACTGGGCAGGTGAGATAGCTCAGCAGACTAAGTGCCTGCTTAGGCAAGTGCAGGGATGGGGGTTTGATCCCCAACACCACATGCTGCGCCAACCCTGCCCCTGTCACACTGAGCTGGCCACAGGCACCAAGTGTGGTGGCGCATGCCTGTAACCCCAGCACCGGGGAAGCTGAAAACAGGAGGATCACTATGAGTCCGAACTGCTGTGTAGTGAGACACTGTACCAAGTACAATAAAAAAAAAAAAAAAAAAAAAAGTGTCTTCAGAAAGGGCTGGCCCAGTTTATGTTCCTGCCTATGAGTGTGAGGCTTAGAGCAGAAGGAAAAGCCGTGTCACCTGCGAAGCGAAGGAGAAGAGAGGGAAACCCAGGACGCCCCTTCCATCCCTCTTTTTGCATTCCTGAGTCCGCAGAAGTTCAGAACCAATCAAGACACAATTGCAGGGGGCTGGAGAGATGGCTCAGTGGTCTAAGAAAGCACCTACTTGGAACAAGCTTGGCAAAGCACAGGGACCGCAGTTCGATCCCCCAGCACCACATGCAGCCAGCCGCGCCCCCTGGTGGGCTGAGCTGGCCACACACACACACACACACACACACACACA